AACAGTGCCTGCAATACTATTTCAATTTTGTAAGAAGATGGAGAAAGGGAAGCAATGGCCTCTGCTTATTTCCTTGCCCCGTCTCTTTAGACCTTTCTCCTACAAACACTCACATCTTCTTCTCCTCATCTACATTTTGTTACTCCAAAATAAAAACAAACGTCAAAGACACTCCAGTCTCCCCAGAGTGTTGTCTTATCTCTAGTACGTGCATTATGTAGGTAGCAGTGAGCAAAAGTGGATCCGAGCTGCCCCATCCCAGGTGGCTCTAGTCTATGCACAGAGACCTTCTCAGGAAAATGTGAATAAAAGAGAACTTTGCTCTTGCCCTTTCAACTTTGGACTATGTAGCAAATATTTTTTATCCTCCACTAGGTTAAAATCACGCCAATCCAGACAGTGTACAGTTTATTACAACTCTGTTCCCACGGGGGTAGCCAGAACAGCTAATATTATTTTAATATATTGAAGCCAGACTTTTTTGGTTATTATTTGTTAGTACAAGCCAATAAGACCAACTAGCTCCTTTTTTCTTATCCTTCAGAACAATTGGGAGGTGTGTTTGAGTGGTTTGGTTTTTTTTTTTCTTTTTTTCTTTTGGTTTTTTAAAATCTCAAATGACTCATTTGGTGGGAACAAATTCACATGTCAGCATGTGGTCTGACCAACATGCTCTATCCATAGGAAAAAAAAAAAAAGCATAGCATTTTCAAATTAAGGTATATGCAGCAGTTATACATTCTTGTTTTAATTTTTTTCTTATTTTTAAAAATATGTTGACCAGCAGCTAGCCAAATAAGCAAAAAACATGTGCCTGAGATTGCCATAGTGGGAAGACTGGTCATCCCTTTGTTTAAATCTGGATAATTTGGTCGTAAGAAGCAGAAAGTCATTTCAGTCAGCTTGAGTAAAAGGGAACTTATTGCAAGGAAAGAGGAGTATTTCGTGAAACTTGAACTGCATACATAAGAAATCCCAGTCTGCTGGCAACCGCATACTTGCTTGCTCTGTCTCTTTTTCTCTTCCTTCCCCAGCCCACACCCATGGTCTCTCACCTCTGCTTCCCTCCGTGCCTTTGCCCCTCCTCTGGCATCTCTTTGCAGACTGGCTCTCCCTGTTTCCTCACCAGTCCTCATGGCCCCAAAAGGCTGCTGCAGCCCCATCTTCCAGCTGAAGACATCTCCATGGAATAACATAGTCTTTCTGCCTCTTAAGTCAAATTTTTGTGATTTCTATCTGAGTGCTTTAGGTTGAGTCAGATGTCCCTGATCTACCTGTTATTAAAATATATAAAAACAATTGTCCAACCCCAATCTTTAGCAAAGCCTATGTGAATACTTGTAAGAATGAGGGTTGCCTTTTTCAAGGCACCTCACATGTATTTACCACATTTCTTGGATATGCATTTGGACCTCTTAGTAAATTCCATTCCATTCTCTCTGGCAGTGAGGTGAGAGACAAACTAGCCACCTCAGTGAATCTGTACATCATGTTTGGTTTTATATGGAGGTGCCCAACAGAGATAGGACTAATAATCCCAAGACTCAAGTGTGTATAATGCTTATTAAAAGTAAATGAGAGGCCGGGTGCGGTGGCTCACACCTATAATCCTAGCACTCTGGGAGGCCAAGGCAGGAGGATCGCTTGAGATGGGGAGTTTGAGACCAGCCTGAGCAAGAGGGAGACCCCGTCTCTACTAAAAAGAGAAAAATTAGCTGGATGTGGTGGCGAGAACCTGTAGTCCCAGTTACTTGGGAGGCTGAGGCAGGAGGATTGCTTGAGCCCAGGAGTTTGAGGTGTGCTGTGAGTATGATGACCACGCACTCTACCTGGAGCAACAGAGTGAGACCCTGTCTCAAGGAAAAAAAAGTAAATGGGGACAGAGGGTAATTATTACAGTAGTTTTCAATATATATTAGTAGAAGCATCATTTATTTTATCTATATATACTAATTAAATAAATAAAATATTAAAATATTAAATAAAATATACTAATTATGACATATAATTAGTATATAACATATAACTAATAAAATACACTAATTAAAACATTTACATAATCTCTTTGACCTAGGAATTCTGCTTCTCAGAATGTATGCTAAGGAAATAATCAAAACAGTGCACAAAACATTTTAGAGAAGTGTTCATTATAGGTATGTATAAATGGAAAAGAGTCACATATGTAATTCCTATTGAGGAATTTCAATGACAAATTTACATTCTGTGTATGTGGTTGGCTATCATGCAGCCTTTAAAAATTATCTTTTTGAAGACTTTTTGTTAGCATGGGAAAATGTTCACAATATGCCAAAGGCAAAAGGTAAAATGCAAAATTATATGGATATCCTTAGTTTCATTTTAAATTACATGCATATAATGCATTTAAAGAAGATAAGAAGGAAATACATTAAAATTTTGTAGGTGATTATTTCTGAATGCTGGAGATACGAGTAAGTTTTATTTTTCTTCTTGATTTATTTTCCAAATTATCTAAGATGGATGTATATTGTTTTTATAATATAGAGTATATTTAAAATATATATTCTAATGGGCTTCTTGCCTGAACTTTCTGATTAGTTGCTTCAGCCTTCTACCTCACAACAGTGAGTTTTAGTGTAATTAAATGAACACTAAAGGAGAAGACAGAGAGAAGAGATGACTGAACTCCCATGCAATACAACCAGAGTCTGCTTTGATTTTTCAGCCCATCTTTTGATCTTGGGGCAAGGGCCTCAGAAGCCAGCAGTTTTGGTGGAACTGGTATCTGACAGCAGATGTTTTTTTTTTTTCTCAATATGCACTACAAACACCCCTGACCTCGTGTTTGTATTGGTCAGTGGTCCATTGTGAGTTTCTGCTTCTACTGGGGATGGCTAATCGGTCTTGTGAAAATGGTCACTTCCATCTTTTTTATTTTTAATGAATGGTTAAGTTTATTATTACAGCAGAGTGTTGACAAGCATGGCAGAGACTAAAAATACAGTTCCTTTTCAAATTAAATATTCAGCATTTTGACTGGCTAGAGATTTATTTGGCAGTAATTTCTTGGTTAAAATTCCCTGAGGTTTGTTTATATGGCTATTTTGGTTCTTTATTTTAAGTACATCAGCATTTTTCCACAGCTTCAAGCTATTCTCATCTCAGCATGCAGAAAGTTAATAAGTAGCACAGAAGCTCGTTAGTTTAATTCCAGTTAAAATATAATTGGCTCAAGAAGCAAAGGTGCTAACACCATCCTTTCTGCCACGCTGAAGGACCAACAAGGACGGCCACAAACTCCAACTCATCACGGTAGTGAGGACCACAGTCCAGGTGACCACAGAGCTCAGCAGCACTTGCTCCCAATAACCTACAAGCACTGCCCGGACTATGGGGTAAGGACCGCTTGGAATTCTGTCTTTTAGGAACAAAACTATGTAACATTTTTTAAAAGATGCATCAAAAGAAGGTAGTTCAATTTAAGGTGGTTGCCCACCTAGATTATACCTTTATTCCAGTTGGTACCACCAGTCCTCCTAACATTTGTGCAGTTCCTGTTTGGGAATTGTTCTCAGATATAGTTTATGAAATGCATCAGAAAATTAGCCTTGTTAGTTTTTAATCACATATGAATGAGATTAAAAAACTAGATTACTCAACTTATTTACCAGACTGGGCTCCAGATGCCTTTTGCATTTTCAAAATAGCAGATCCCCTCACAAAACCAAAGTTTGCCACCAATAAATCCTTCAAAACCACATGCCTTGGTCTAAGACAAGAATTCCAATAAGAGAATTCCAAAAGGGATTAGAATAATGGCAGAATCACTGGAATAAATATACAGCCTTCCAAACTAACAGCTCTGAACTGGGCATTTGGATCTGTAAGATCAAGCACAATTTTAAAACAAAAACCAACATTCTTTCTTTTTTTATTATTTCAGAATATTATGAGGGTATAAATGCTTTGGTTATGTATATTGCCTTTGCCCCACCGGAGTCAGAGCTACAAGCATACCCATCCCCCAGGCAGTGCACACTGCACCTATTAGGTGTGAATTTACTCATCCCCTCCCCCCCACCTGGTCGACACCCGATGAGTATTACTTCCACATGTGCACATAAGTGTTGATCAATTAGTAACAATTTGATGGTGAGTACATGTGGTGCTTGTTTTTCTATTCTTGTGATATTAATACTTCATTTGCAAGAATGGGCTCCAGCTCCATCCAGGATAATACAAGAGGTGCTAGTTCATCATTGTTTTTTATGACTGAATAGTACTCCATGGTATACATATACCACATTTTATTAATCCACTGACATATTGATGGACACTTGGGTTGTTTCCACATCTTTGCAATTGTGAATTGTGCTGCTATAAACATTCGAGTGCAGATGTCTTTATTATAGAATGTCTTTTTTTCTTTTGGGTAGATGCCCAGTAGTAGGATTGCTAGATCAAATGGTATCTCTACTTTAAGTTCTTTGAGATATCTCCATATTGTTTTCCATAAAGGTTGTAGTAGTTTGCAGACCAACCAGCAATGTACAAGTGTTCTTATCTCTCTGCATCCACACAAACATTTATTGTTTTGAGACTTTTTGATAAAGGCCATTCTCACTAAGTTAAGTGATATCTCATTGTGGTTTTGATTTGCATTTCCCTGATGATTAGAGATGTTGAGCATTTTTTCATATGCTTGTTGGCCATTATTCTATCTTCTTTTGAAAAGTTTCTGTTCATGTCCTTTGCCCACTTTTTATTGGAGTTGCATGATTCTTTCTTGCTGATTTTCCTGAGTTCTATATAGATTCTAGTTATCAGCCCTTTATCAGATGTGTAGCATGCAAATATTTTCTCCTATTTTGAAGGTTGTCTATTCACTTTAATGATAGTTTCCTTGACTGTGCAGAAGCTTTCTAATTTGATCAGGTCCCATTTATTTATTTTTGCTATTGCTTTTGGGGTCTTCTTCACAAATTCTTTGCCTAGGCCAATGTCTATAAGAGTTTTTCCAACATTTTCTTCTCGAATTCTTATGGTTTCATGCCCTAGGTTTAAGTCCAACATCCTTTCATTCAACTACCATTGAGTAAGTGACACGTTCTGTTCCAGAGGCTGCAGCATCAAACATATATTAGACTTAGTCTTTGCTCTATGCCAATACTAATCTTAAGAGAACCAATTTCAAGGAGTGATCTAAAATGCTATATTAAAATTATGCTAATTTGAACTATCCTAGTCAGAAAAATACGTATAGAAGAGGGTGCCTCAAAAGCTAGAAAGAAGGAAAATGATTTAAAGTACTTTTATTTGTTTTATTTTTTTTCCTATGCAAGACTTTGAAGCAAAGCAGGGAAGACTGTTTGCATGCAGCTAAATTTAATTTGAATGCCTAGATAACCTCTGAGAACTTGGGAGACTACCTAGGCTGGAATATGCGACTGTAGCTACCTATTTACCTCACAGTAGTTATTATGAAATAAAGAACTAAAATCTTAAAATGTTGTTTAATTAGAGTGTCTTTACTAGCAGCAGTAGCAGCAGCAACATTCATTCACTCGCAAGTTCCATTCCTTTGAGGAAAAGGCAGGAAGCTCAAATTTAAGTTGGTTTCAGTCAACAAATATAATTTGGACACCAGGGCTGATGCCACATACAGAAATGCATGCTTTAGTTAGACTTCTTCAGTTGCAAGGAACTCATCCACGTTACCTCCAGTACTGGGGTCTTACTGTGACTGACTGTAATAGGGATGCACAATCTTCAAGTCCCTACTGGGGAACAGTTCTAGCAGGTCATTCCTCCACTTCCACCTGTCTAGATATCTGAAGGTCCCCTAGGCTTAGTAGTATCTTGGGCTGGGGGAAATAATCTTGCTTATGAGATGACTGTAGTTTGACAGGCAAAATCTAGAAAGACAGGCAGCTTGATGTTGCCATTTAGAAGATGACCAGAATCTTACCAAAACAGAATTGCATTACAGTGGGAACATCTAAATGCCTGCCATACCACAGAGCAGCATCTCATGCTGGGTGGAGCCCTTGGTCACTCCTAGGAATCCAAGGGTTACCACTTAGGGTGCTCCTCCCACTTTTTAAGACACCCCTAAATTTGGGGGTGGGGGAAAGGACAGTCAACTGATCTCTGAACCAGGTCCTCTTTTCCCTGCACCAATTCCCAAGCCCACCCATCTCTCCTATAGGTCCTCAAGGATGTGTTCATATCAAACAACCTTACACAGTCTTTTCATAGATGATGTCCCCTTTACATCTAAGAAATGAAAGCCCCTGCCCTTATTGATTATGATCTTGATTTCATCTACCTCTCTTGGAACCAAATCTTGACCTTCTAAGATGCTGTGGGGCAGGTGTCTATAACTGCACTTCTGCACTGGCCCCCATCCCAAATCTCCGTGATAAGTGAACAGTGCAAATGTTGACACAGAATCTCAACTGATAAGGAAAACTGCTCAGCTAGCCCAGGGATTCTTTATTTGTTAGAAATTATTAACCAATTATTTCCAACTCTCTTAAAAATTATTGGCAAGTTATATCCAATTGTCTGAAGAACCATTTCTAAAATCCTACCAATTAAAATTAATTCCTCCCTACTGGCTTGAAAAATGATGCTTTACCTCTCACTCAAAATACAAGTCCATCTGGATACATAAGCCTATGAAAGTGTCATTAGTATATAAATTCTTCTAAGTTATCACTACATAAATGAGCAGTGAGAGTAGCTGAAATTTAGGGATTATAATTGGCATTGTCTATTTTGTTCATTAAATTAATTTGAAATAAGAAACATACATTCTGTAAACTTAAATTACTGGGGTTAATAATTCAAAGTGAGAAATAATACAAATTATTTCCTCTCATACAGCAAAGTTTTTGAACAAAAAGAAATTGACCAGTGACACTCGCTGGCTTTTTGTGAATTTGCTAACATCCCTAACAGCTTTTGGGAATATATTTTTACATAATGCAAATTTCTACAACCTTTGACATTTCAGTTGCCTTAGTGGCCAGGAATTGGGGTAATATATGATTGAAATAGAAACTGCCTTTGATTTGTTTAAATCTAAAGATGATTTTTTTTTCCTTTGCTCTCCAGAAAAGAGCCCCTTGCTGTGTCTTGTCTCTAGTATTTTATCACAGGCTGGCTTTGAATCTTTGCATTGGTGAATGATACAGTTATTCTTCCAGAGTATCTTGTAACTGTGTCATCAGAATATAAGTAGACTATAGTCCTTGCTTTCTCTTTATTCTTTTGACAATATACAGTGCCCAATATATGCCAGGCATTGCATTTGGTTCTGAAAATATAAAGATTAAGACACAAATCTCTACACTCATGGGACTTCAAGTCTACCTGCAAAACTAGATGGATAAGTGACTAATTATGATAGAATGTGGTTAATACATTGATGAGAATGTGTACCAAGTGCTTTGGAGGCATAGAGGAAGTAGTAAATAATATATTCTTGAAAAATTGAGAATTAACCAAAGTTACATCTGCCACCTCTGGACTAGACTGGAATGACAATTGTAAAGTGGATGAATTGTGCTGACCCTGGCCTTGTCTGGTACACTTACTGTTTTTCCTCTTTCCTGCAGACACCTCTGCCTTGTTTGCTGGAGAATATTGTGCAACAGTGGACCTTCATGATTTCCAAGCACTCAGAAAAATGCTGTTTGACCACTGAGCAAATTCTTCTTGATTGCTTTGGATTAAGAATTGCTACTCTGGTGAATTAAGCCAAAGAAGCATTCAAGAACCAAGATGTTTTGTTTGAACAGAACATAAATCAAAGCTGGAAATGGGGGCTGCCTAGGCACCCTGTTCCAAAGCCCTCTTGAGTCTGTGAATTCCATCACCAAGTCCTTGCTTCCAGACCTCAGGAACATGGCTTCAACAGGTCGGCGTATTCCAAACCCACGCTTACCATTGTTTTCATTCTGTGGCTTCTAGGTCTGTTTCAGGAATGCAATGCAAAATTATTATTTCATGGAATATTATACAATTTTTTTTCTAATAGGAGGCCACTAAAATTGTCAAATTTCATTGATTACCAACCCACGTAGATGACTGTTACAATTTGAATGGTCCATACTATGGTTTGAATTTTTGTGTCCCCCTCCCAAATTCCTGTTGAAACTTAATCCCCATTGTGGTGGTATTAAAAGGTGTGGCTTTGGGAGGGGATTAAGTCACATGTGGCATTAGGACCCTTATAGAAAGGCTCCGGGTTGAAGGGAGCACCCTCTTGCACTCCGTGCCTTCCGTTGTGTGAGGAGGACACAGCACTCCTCCCCTCGGGAGATGCAGCAGCGAGGCGCCATCTTGGAGGCAGAGAGCAGCCCTCACAGGACACCAACCCTGCAGGCTCCTTGATCTTGGTCTCCAGCCTCCCAAGCCCTCAGAAATAAATTTCTGTCCTTTGTCAGGTACCCAGTCTCAGGTACTTTGTAATTACAGCACAAAAATGGACTAAGTCCATAAAAGTAAAAATAAATGAAAGCTATTGATAAACCCTGATAGGGTTTATTCCTCTTGGCACAGGTGGACAAAGAGCTGAGTGATGACTGAGGAAGGGGAATCACGGTTACCTACGTGACGTGTCTCTGCGATGCAGCGTCTCCCAGAGGTGACGGTGGCAGGCAGGGCTCCCGGCTCCGCTTGCAGCTGTGTTGACTCACTGTGGGAAACCAGTCAAGGTGCTTTTACTTCTGCCTTGCTTAAAGACCCCAGCTATAGACATAAATAAGGAAAACTAGATATTGAATTTTCCAAGTATCACATGAAAGACGATATAAGAATACAGAAAACCCCATTTTCATTTCATTGAAATGTAATATTATTTAGAAAACAATTAAAGTGGTACATTAGGTCAGAGATTCCCAAACTTTGATATTAGAAACTTTTTGTTTTGCTTTGTGACATCTTTACATTTCTCTCCTTTTCAAATACATATATAAATTATGTATGGTACATTTTTAATGATAAAAGTGACACACGTTTGTAAGAAAAAATTGAAACAGTACAGAAAGTTGAAAAGTATATGGATTTTTACTATAATAAACAATGTTTCAATAAAAATATTTATCTATTGGATACATTCCTAGAAGTGGACATGATGGATCAAAGAACATGTGCATTTAAAATTTTGATAGATATTTGTCAAATTGTCTCCAAAATTCTTGTACCACTTTGTGCCCCCTCCAACAGGGTTTGTTTCCATGCACCTTCCCCAACACTGGGTATTGTTAAACTTTTAAATTTTACCAATTTTTGAGGTTAAAGAAGATGGCATTTGATAGTGGTTTCAATTTGCATATATTTAACTACAAGACAAACTAAACAAAGTTTACTTTTATTAAGGTCAATTAGAAGACCTTATTTCAGAGGGAATTATATAATACTTATTTAAATAATAACTAATACCCTGAGATCATCTAATAAATTAGGGGCAACCTAACTTATGGTAGAAAAATGAAATTGGACAGTAAAATTTTTAAACAAGCAAAAGAAAAATTTGATATGAACAGTGGAAAGTAGAAAAAGAGAAAAAGAAACAAAAACAAGCCATTAAAAACATGAAATCAGATTGTATAGATATTATACATCCTAAGATAATAATTAATATTATATAACATTGTATCTCATGTTATATATATTGTTATTAAAATGTCAGAGTTAAAACAGATCAGAAGACAGAGACCTTTAGCATTTATTATTATTAATTATTAATACTTAAAAAAATACAGAAGGTTAAAACAAAAGTGATGGAAAAGGATACACCAGTCAAATATGGACCAAAGAAAGATGAGGTAACAGTTTTAATAATTACATGTAATATATTTAATCTAATACTATTATTGGTAAAAACAGAATTTAAGGTAAAATAAATCATAAGTTATATTTCTCATGAAAGATGAATTACTTAGAAATGTGGTTGTCTTATTGCATAAAGAATAATAAATTTGGAGGCCTACATCACACCATTAAAGAATAAATGTAAAAATAAAAAATTAATAGAAGAAAATGTTGAGGGGTTTCTTGCAAAATTCCCCAAAATCATAAACCATAGAAGTAAAAACTAGTGGATTTGATGAAATCAAAGTTAAAGATTTTGGATCAATTAATAAAGCCTAATATTTACAAAGAAAAGTTTTTAATGTGTAGTCATTCTTCTAATCTTTCTAATACCCCTAAGAGGTACGAGCTATCATGACCCTATTTTGTAGGGGAGTCAGGCACAGATTGGTTAGTGACTTGTCCAAGGTCACATGAGGAGTGTAGGAGCCATAGAGAGCTCCTGGGTTTAACCACTACACTACATTGCCTCTGGAAGACAATAGAGACAAACACATGGGTTATAGGCTGGGAGAAAGCATTTTAAATATCTATAGTTTACATAATAGAATATACAAAAAAAAATCCTGCAAATTTGCAATAGAACAAAAAGAAGTGTGCAGAAAAGTGAGCAAAATAGAATATACAAAAAAAAATCCTGCAAATTTGCAATAGAACAAAAAAGAAGAGTCTGCAGAAAAGTGAGCAAAAGATACAAACAAGCAATTGATTAGAAGAGAAAATCCAAAGTGCTAAGCAGTATGTGAACAAATGTTTGATTCAGCTGGTAACAAAAACACGCATAATTTTTCAAAAAACAGGCTTTACTGGCATTGCCCCAGAACCTCCCAGTCCTTGTCTGAGGAATGAAGTAGTGAACAAGTGAGCAGAAACAGGAGAAGCACACGCTGGCCACTCTGTCTACCTGTACCTTTTCAGTCCCAGGCAAGAGGCGTTGCTGAATCTCAGAGCCCTTTGGACGTGAGGATCTCCCACCATAACATCCCCAGCTGGATGTGATTTTGTTTCCTCCAACTTCTGGAAGTTGTTGCTTATACCTCTCCTACAGCATTAACCATATGTTGCTTCCCACTGTAGTTCTTTGTACCTATGTCCTACAGCTTGCTCCCCAAAGGCAGGAACTAAGTCTTAGCCATCTAGAATTCTCTGTAGTGCTAGCATAATGTTTTGTACATAACAGGAGCCCAATAAATATTTATGGAGTTGAATTTAGTGGAAGAGCGGTATGTTAAGCTCCCAGCAAGCAGGCAGGAAACCATAGGAGCTTTCAAAATGAAGAAAAATTTGGTCTAGATCAGCACTTTCTGAAGTGTTCTCTACAGAACACAAATCCTGTAAAATACTACCTGAAGAGAGTCCTGGGTCAAATAATTTTGTGAAGCAACACAATCCACTCCTGCTCACCCAATCCTTTTGGGAATCAAAAGTGATGGTGTGCAGAAGCCAGCTCGCTCCAGCTTGCAAAAGTCAACTGTTAAATTTTTAGGAATTTTGTAAGCTGATTATGAAATACAGTCATTATTAAAAATTAAATTATATGAACGTACAACTAAATAAATTCTATTAAAAAGGTGATAATTATGGAAAACAAAACTTCCTAATTAATTTACTACATTTTGCTCGTGTGTGTGCCCTTGTTATGTGCATCTGTTTACTTCTCCAGTGGAAGTACTCTGTGATCCTTTACTACTGCAAACCTTTCCCAAACTTCACAATCACTGATGTCATGATGGTAGCTGGAAATTGGCCATGATGGGAGTATTTACACCGCGGTAATCAGCAGCTGTTACAAAGCAGGGCTTTTTCTCCAGAGAATATTGGTTGTTAAGCATTTAACAATACACTCCCAGTCACAAATGTATCAGTCTGTTCAAACCCCTGATTGCCCTATGGTAAACACACCCATTTAACTGTGTAAGTCACTGTTCTGAACTTCATTTGCTTGTGAAATTCTTTTAATGCATAACATACATCAGCATCCCAAGACACACACTATGGGAAAAACTGGACTAGCTAATTACTAGGGCCTTTCCTAGTTCTTACAATCTATGAAAATGACAAGCCTTCACATACAAACTTAACATGCCCACTTCTTAGATTTTCAGTGTCTCGGGGAAGTGAATATGGATTAATCAACCTTCTCTTTGAAAGCAAAATCAAAATAATTTCAAAGGATTTCTACTTCCTAGGAACTATGACCTGATTTATTTATGATTCCTCAGTTCCAAGGAATTTGGTTAAGGACAGAATATTGTATAGAAGGACTCTACTTACATCTCATTTTCTTCATCTGTAGAATGGGATATATTACAGGCTTTTTGAGAAAGCAGACCAAGAGTATGCTTGAAGAATCACTTGGCTAGCTGTGCAGTTTTTACATATAAAAGGAAATATGATTCGGGTGTTTCTCTCTGAAAGTGGTGTGATAAATATGGTTCATAAACAATCTGTAGCTGAGTTTGCCAGATCTCAGAAGGCTTCTCCCAAATGCCCATAGCAAAGTGGATAAAGCCTTGGCTCAAACTCCAAAGTAACCTAACTATGCTCCATGGTGACAGCTCAAATGTGATTGTTAGGTTGCCTCCTGGCTTCATGGCTCAGCTCACAGGAAACTACAGCTATGTTTTCAAAAGATCTAATCAAAGACAATTGTATCCAGACTGATAATAAATGGGAATGAGGCCGGGTGGTCCCAGAACAGATGGAAATTGTAGTAGAGTGTTTGCAAGAAGTGGTCCTTCTAACTGCAAGCAGTTATGATTCACAGTCCACATGCAATTTGATTTAAGTCCAAGAAAGGTGATTTTATCTCTCAGGTCAAATGAATGTGGCACAAATCCACTTTGGAATAATATTTTCACAAACACAGACGTTTTCATTTTTGCTAAGGGTCTAGAAATGTTAACCTGCCTCTTAAGAGGTCACTTTTCAAAGGTGAGGATGAGGAGAGGGGAGGAGAGGAGGGAGGGAAAACTGCAGCTTGCTCTCTTTCCCTCTTTGATCCTCAAGCACGTAGAAGGATGGCAAAATGCCCAGCACATGCTTCCTGCTTTTACTGGCCCGCACCCAAGGACCTGGGGTCTTCAGCTGAGGGCCGCAGCACAGCCCTTCTTCTGCTCCTGCCTGCAGTGTGACCTCCTGGGTGTTGGACACCCAGAGCAGCACAGGGACTGTCTGACCAGGGTGCACGCCAGCCCCAGGCCTGCAAGCAACACCCTAGAGGCCTGGCCTGGGCCAGGTGTCCCTGCAAAGAAAATCAGGTGCTTGGACTAACAAGGGCCACTGGGCGAGGCTGAGGACAACATCAAATTACCTACCCATCTGGACATAGTTCCATATTTGAACAACAGCCATGAGCACGCCAGAGCGTACTTGCCTGCACCCCTCCTCAAAAGCAAGCCTTGCTAGTGACACACTTGCCAGTTTTTTGGCTCTACCTATGGAGGATAATTCAGGTAGCGGCAGCTATGGGGTCACCAGTGCAGAGAAATAGTGCAATGACCAGCTATGTCTTGCTTAGGAATAAAAAGAGACACTGATATTTACCTGCCACTCATTTATGTGCCAGACATGGTGCTCGGCGTTTTCATAATCATTATCTTATTTAACCCTCTGAACAGCCCTATTAGATAAGTATTGGCACATTTATATTACAGATGGACAAAATGGATACATGTTATCATCCTTATATTACAGAAGGACCCTTGTATCATAGCTGGCCAAGTTACTAACCCAAAATCCCACAACTAATAATCGATAGACCCAAAATTCGTGCATGGGGTCTGTCTGCCTCCCAAAAAGGGCTTCTTTCTACTGTACTAGATAGTGTCGCGGTGGCACACAGCCTCTGAAGCCACGCCACCTGGGTTTGAGCC